AGGTTCCAAGCTGGAACGTTGCTTGCTTGACCTCTTCTAGCGTTATGTCCTCAATCAGCCTGAGATTAGTTTCCCCCTTCACACGGCAAGAGCAATATTGAAGCAGTGGAGTGAACTGTCGATGTTACACTTTTTGTATAGTTCCCTAAAGTAGTCATATGTCATCCTCTTTAGTTGTTCTTGGTCTCGGGTCCAGTTTCCTGTCAAGTCCTTCAGCATAGAAATTCTGTTTCGTTGTCTCCTCTGTACAGTAGAGGCGTGAAAGAACTTAGTGTTTCGATCCCCCCACTTGAGCCAATTAATCCTCGAATGTATTGCCCAATACATCTCCTCCTGACTCCATAGCCTTTGAATGTCATCCCTCAACTTTTGTAGTTGTTCTTTTTCCTTCTCAGCAGCTTGACTGTTTGTTATGCACTGTATTTGCCCCATTAAGAGCTTGATCCTGTCCTGCCCTTTTGTGAATTTCTTCTTACTCCAGCTTTGTAAGGCAGTTGCAGCTTTTCCCATCCTGATCAAGAGGCCCTCATTTGCAATCGTTGAAGAATTCCATGCTATATGTATAACTCCTCTGCATTCATCATCTTCTAGCCAAAAAGCTTCGAAACTGAAATTTTTCTTCTGCCTCTTACGGGCTTGATAGGTAGACAATAGGATCGAGCTATGGTCAGAACCAATAGTCGGTAATGCATATATTTCTGCCTCAGGGAATTGTAGTCTCCAATTCAGATTACTAACTGCTCCATCTAGTCTTTCCTTCACCAGCTCTTCTCCTTCACGATTGTTTGACCAGGTCAAGGCACAACCCTTACTTTCGAGGTCCATTAGTTCGCAGTTATGCAGAAACTCTCTAAAAGCATGGAGTCTATACTGCTCAGCCATTCTTTTGCCTACCTTTTCCCAATGATACATAATATCATTAAAGTCCCCCAAGCACACCCAAGGCAGCTAGTTTACCTGACTAATTCTGTATATTTCTTCCCACATCTTGTTTTTTCCCTGGTAGGTTGTTGGTGCATGGACAAATGTGACTTGCATTCTCATTTTATAGTTGTCCTCTTCACATTCGATGTCTATTAATCCCTCTGAAGCAGATAAGATTGATAAAGCAGCAGGGACATTCCACAAAATCGCTAAGCCGCCTCTTGTTCCCGTTGGGTTGACAACAAAGCACTCATCATATTTCAACATCCTCCTTACCTAGTGTATCTTTTCTTCTCTGTTTTTTGTTTCCATAAGAAATAGTACCTCGGGCCTTTCTTGAGCCACTAGGGCTCTCAAAGCTTGGACTGTCAGAGGTGTGCCCAACCCCTGACAGTTCCAACTCAAAATCTTCATATGGATCCCGGTGGCTTATTAGGGCTAGCCACCACAGCCCATTGTCCTGAGCCTTCCAACACCTGGATTGGTGTTTCAAGCAATTGGTCTTCATCTATGAGTAACGATTTGTCCCCTTGAGAGTTGTATGGGCTGAACCTTCTAATCCTCTTACGTACAGGAGTTTTCTGCCAACTTTGTTTCTTTTTATTGGCGCTAGCTGGTACCAGAATAAGATCTAGTTTCTTGGGAGGTGCTTGATTTCCAGCCAATGTAACAGGGAATTTAACCAAATGTTCACTTTGACCTGCTGGAATACTCATTGCAGTAAGTTTAGTCTTTGTGCTGTCCTGCTTAATTTGCTGAATTTTCTGGATGTGGCTGGAGCTGCTCTCCTTGTAGATCACTATTTGTCCAGAGTGGGTAGGTGTCTCCGGGATACTTTCCTCTTCCATAGGTTCAACTAAGTCTTTCCCATAAAATAACTTCCTGAAAGGGCTGTTGCTACTTACCTCGGCCTTCAGCCAAGGGCCGAAAAGTCTGTCCTTATCAGTGTTCACATCATCGACGCTAAAAGGCAACTCTTCACAGTCAGAAGCATAATGGCCTATTTTCCCACAAGAGAAGCAAAAATATGGGAGCCTCTCATATTTAAAATCCAGCCAGATTTTCTTTCCTTCATTGTCAGCAAGCATTCCTGACTGCAGGGGTAAGTGAAGATCCAATGTCACTTGCACCCTTCCATACGACACTATTCCTCTTGTCTCAATTTTAACTTCTCGCACTTGTCTTATGTTACCAGCTACTTCTCGAACAACTTCCTCTGAAATCCACTCAAAAGGAAGCCCCAGAATATGTACCCAGAAGTCACACGAGTCAAAGTTGTAGCTTAAAGCTGTGGTATTTGGTTCCCATTGTTTCAAGATCAAGAGATTGTTCATGAAAGACCATGGACCTTGGTCCATCACTTTTTTCCTCATAGCTTGAGAGTTGAATGTTATAGCAAAAATACCTTGTTCTAACGGAGTAAAGTCAGCATTATCCACTCGCCATGCTCTCCGCATTGTGTTTTGGAAAGCTTGAAAGTTGATTTTTGGATTTTTGAGGAGTTGCCCTATCAGAGTTAAATTCCCATCCTTGCCTTTCGCTGATGCCAGAATCCCTTCAACATTCTTAGTGACTTTGTCTGACCACATTCTTCCTAATCTTTTGCAGAGCAGGGCCAACCTATGGTTTGCATCTTCATCCGGCTCCATGGAGGTGGAACTTAATCGCAACTACTGTAGTTCCTCGAGCTGAAAGACACAAGATTTACTTGCCTTCGCAGTTGAGTTCCGCTCCAAAGAGCGATTTTAGGGTAACGAGTTGAAGGGTTGTGGGTGGGTGTTGAGTTGACGAGGCATTAGGTTACAGAGGAGCTGTTAATAATTCATGGTGACTGAGCTAGATAGGGGAAGGAAGAAGAGGGACATTTAGGGTTTCCATCGGCTAAGCTACCCCAATGGGTAGAGGGAAGCTCTTCCGAGAGAAGAGAAGCCACGATCGCCTCGCTGTTTCAAACAGTGACAAAAGTGGGTGCACCCTCCAAGTTTGTTAACTTAATTTGTTCAATTGAGCATCTGATAAGCTCTTCAAATTTGCCCAATTGGGTACAAAAATTAAAGAAATTTAATTGCGTTAGCTGACGTGGACAACTTTATCGTTAACTTGCTATGAATTTTACACTTTTGATGCATAAATGTACACGATCAGTGGCGTTCGATCGAGATGGACGGTTAAGATGCATCTACATCAACCGTCACCTTATCATCTAAACCTAATTTTTTCAGAGAAAGAGAACTTCTGCAGCCACCAACTATCATTGACCACCAAGGATTAAGCACTGCCTCCGCCTACCGTTGTAGATTGAGTTGCCCCGCCACCTCCTTCACAAGCGAAAACACCACTGCCATCAAGGTCGGCAATGATTAGAATTGGTCACATCTACTCCGAGTTTCGAGCATGACCACCATTATAACCACACTCGTCCCCTTGATCATGCTACGAGAACGCGAAAGACCACCATGTCTCTGTATTTATCTTTGTGATTTGAGGTCACCCAAACCTCATATCTTACATGTAAAATTGTGGATCCGAGGTTTATGCGACCTTGAATGAACAAGAGAGAGCAAGGAAGCTGATAGCGAGGGAATTGCGCAACAACAGCGAAACCAATGGGGATGGTGGCATGGGGGCAGCAATTTTGGTGACAAAGGGCAGCAATGGCCAATCGTGGATGAAGAAAGAAAGAAAAAACTGATAAAAGGTTATTTTATTCATTGGGGGTTAAAAAAGAACGACGCGACTATTCATGTTTTGTCCCAATCATCGCTAAGGTGGCATTACAGACACTCAGAACTGTCAAACAGGTGGATCGGATTGGATCGAAAATGGTCCGATCCAAATGAACCCATTTAACTCATTTTGACCCATTTCCATGTAATGTAAATCTAATGACCCATACCCGACCCAATCCATACAAAATCCATACTCGACCCGATCCATATTGCTAAAACACTTTTACATTTTAAATAAATCTAGGAAAACTCATATCTAAATTGAGATAAGAGAGCGAAGTGAGTGAGTGCGAGATTGAGCGAGGGCGAGGGAGATGAGTTGAGTTTAAATAAGTTGTAAACCCATTTATGACTTATTTACGACTCATTTAACACTCATATTATGCTTATACCAATTTATGACCAATTTACTAAATATAACTAATATATTTATGACTCATTTATTGATATATGAGTTAAGAAATGAGTTTATGATTCATTTTGATAGGTCTACATGACAGCCAGAAACATTTAACTCGACATTTTATTTAATGGAAGTACATAATTGAGCAAAATCTAAAGGGTTCATGGACTCAATTGAATTAAAAAAAGATCTAGGTACTTTAATGAAAAAAAAACAATAAAAATGTAGATATTTATGATGTCATTACCCCATAAAATTTTTAGAGATTTATAGTTTGGTAGGAAATTAGCGGTCAATGCGAAATGCCCCAGGCGTTGCTCACCGATGCAAATTTTTCCCTTCATTATCTTCTAAGATACAAAGGCTTTGCAATCTGTCGACACCAATACAACAACAGGGACTAAATTGAAAAACTTGCCAACAAGTACAGCGACTCAATGTGCAAAAAATCAAAAAGACCTGCGGATGGGCGTTACGGTAACTTCACACCCGAGAGGACTCCATTATCAATCAAATTGAACAAATTAAAAATTCAGATGTCATAATGCACATCGGATCAAAATTCATAAACCGTTTGGGTCATTTTTCCATATCTCCAATAGTGCAAAGGCCTCGCAATCAATCTGTCGACATCAAACGCAACAGGGACGAAATCGAAAAGCTCGCCAGCAAGCACAGGGACTCAATGTGCCAAAAAAAAGAAAAAATGAAAAAACCCCAAAAAGGACCCGCGGAAGGGCGTTATGGTAACTTCGCACCCGAGAGAGGGGCTCCATCGCCATCCAATCCCCCTCCTCCGCCACTCTTCGCTCTCGCCCCTCCATTCCCAACCCCACTCTCGATCGTCCCTCTCCTTCTCTTTCTCTCCGCCTCCCTCTCTTTCCCCTTCATTTTCCCGCACTTTCCCGCACTTTCCCGAGAAAGAAAAAAACACAGAGAAAGATCCCGAGAAAATCCGACGCCCGCCGCCCACCGCCCACCGCCGAACCGCCGCCCGAGCGACGATGAGGGAGATCCTGCACATCCAGGGTGGCCAGTGCGGCAACCAGATCGGGGCCAAGTTCTGGGAGGTCATCTGCGACGAGCACGGCATCGACGCCACGGGCAAGTACAGCGGCGACGCCGACCTCCAGCTCGAGCGCATCAACGTCTACTACAACGAGGCCAGCGGCGGCCGCTACGTCCCCCGCGCCGTCCTCATGGATCTCGAGCCCGGCACCATGGACTCCGTCCGATCCGGCCCCTTCGGCCAGATCTTCCGCCCCGACAACTTCGTCTTCGGCCAGTCCGGCGCCGGCAACAACTGGGCCAAGGGCCACTACACCGAGGGCGCCGAGCTCATCGACGCCGTCCTCGACGTCGTCCGCAAGGAGGCCGAGAACTGCGATTGCCTCCAGGGTAAACCCATTTCCGGATCTCTCCGTTCTCGTTGATTTGTGCCCGTGGAGCTGCGGTGGTGTCTGTTTTGTCGGTCGGGTTTGTGTTTGTTGGTGTTTGCCTGTTCTGTGTTTAGGAGATGGATTTAGGGCTCCCGTTTGCTGGTTGAAGTCGCTGCGGCGAAAATGCTAGTAGATCTCATCGAGTACGAGATGGAAAAATGGTAGTTACCCGTCGTGAGATGCGCCGCGCTGCGCGCGAACCCGTCCTCTACGCGATCGAGATCGGAGTATCGGGAACCATGCGGGTTCCCGGGGCTATAGAAATGAAACCATGCGGACATGTTTTTTGTATCTTAAATACTGAGGTCGGATGTCGGTCATATGTTGTCGTTGCCGCCGATGCCGCTGCCGTGTCAGGTTGAATTGTGTAATTTCATGGATGGTTGGTTTACCCCCCAAGTTTGATACCTGGAAAAAAATGAGAAGAGGGAGCATCTTTCCCATTTTATGTAGGAGCAGACATGCAAAATCATGAACTGTGAAGGTGAAAATTAGTGCCGTTTCTCTGTTTCTGGTGGCGCGCCATGCATTGTTTGTTTGTTTACATCTGATTCTTCACATTGCTATGTTCTGTCGTGGAGGAGCAGCTTGTGTGATTATAACTTGGACTTTTACATTCTTTAAGGAGAACTTCGTTGATGAAATCTCGTAAACTGTTGAGAAAGCCCTTCCTAGTGGCTGACTTCTCACCGTGTCCTTGATCTATTTGTCTTTCCTGCGATGAATTCTTTGCTTGATTAAGAACTTGTATCGAACTAATGATTGCTTCTATTGGTGTGAAATTGTGATATGTTTGGCAACCTTGTTATTTGTTAGCAACAATATATGAAATACACCGGCAATGTAACGTTTAAGTAATATTACCTCATCAAATTATCTCATTGCATAGTTAAATGTCCTGCCATCTATCAGGATTTCAAGTTTGTCATTCTCTCGGTGGAGGAACTGGCTCTGGCATGGGGACACTCCTTATTTCCAAGATCAGGGAGGAGTATCCAGACCGAATGATGCTTACATTCTCAGTCTTTCCTTCTCCCAAGGTATCCGATACGGTGGTTGAGCCGTACAATGCAACCCTTTCTGTGCATCAGCTTGTTGAGAATGCTGATGAATGTATGGTGCTGGACAATGAAGCTCTCTACGACATCTGCTTCCGTACTCTCAAGCTTGCCACCCCTACCTGTAAGTTCAACATTTAATGGCCTATTATAAACTGCTAAATGAGGTTTGTTTTGGCTAAATTAACGAACAATTCGTCAATGTAATAGTTTTGTGATTTCTCACCGAAGCATGGCTTCTTAAGTCCTTATTCCTTTGTCACCGTGAAATCCATAAATAGGAAAATGAAGTATAAAATGATTGATCTGCTAGCATTTTTCGCTGTATTCCACTGACATGCATTTGACCCTGTTTCTGTCTACTTTGTCGCTTCCAGTTGGTGATCTTAATCATCTCATCTCTGCTACCATGAGTGGTGTGACATGTTGTCTTCGGTTCCCTGGTCAGCTGAACTCTGACCTTCGGAAGCTCGCCGTCAACCTTATCCCGTTCCCACGGCTCCACTTTTTTATGGTTGGATTTGCACCACTCACATCCAGGGGGTCTCAGCAATATCGTGCTTTGACTGTTCCCGAATTGACCCAACAGATGTGGGATGCCAAGAACATGATGTGTGCGGCTGACCCACGTCATGGCCGCTACTTAACTGCCTCCGCCATGTTCCGTGGAAAGATGAGCACCAAGGAAGTTGATGAGCAGATGATAAATGTTCAGAACAAGAATTCTTCATACTTCGTTGAGTGGATTCCTAACAATGTGAAGTCCAGCGTATGCGACATCCCACCCAAGGGTTTGAAGATGGCATCAACCTTCATCGGGAATTCGACCTCAATCCAAGAGATGTTCAGGCGAGTGAGCGAGCAGTTCACCGCTATGTTTAGGCGCAAGGCTTTCTTGCACTGGTACACGGGCGAGGGAATGGACGAGATGGAGTTCACCGAGGCCGAGAGCAACATGAATGATTTGGTGGCCGAGTACCAGCAATACCAGGATGCTACTGCTGATGATGAGGAGGAGGAGTATGAGGAAGAAGAGGAGGAGGTTGCTGCTTGAGGTGTGATTTTTTCTGTTCAAGTATTTGTTGCCTGCTCTTGACAAGAGTTTATGTGATGTTGTGAAATTGTCATTTAGATTGCTTTCCTATCTGTAAGTCTTGTTTTATTATTGTATTTGCAATTTGGTGACTTGCTATTCCACCGTTGTGGAATCATGGTTGTTCCTTCCTATTAAGTAAATGAAGGTATTGTTGGAAGCTAGAAACCTTCTTTTATGCTTTATATATGATTGATGTCGGGCTTTATTACAGAGGCATTTGGCATTTGGAGAGAACAACGGGGCTTCCTATCCATTAGTTCCAACTGTTTAGGTTTAGACTGCACTTTTTGTACACCTATTTTCTGTTCAGACAGGACAAGATGCAGTTATAGAACCCTTCTTTGTTGTACAAGATCCAGTAACATTGTCTCCACCTCTAAAGTTGGTCTGGGAATGGAGTCAATCTTGTCTTTGATCTGATCTACAATCATTTTCTTCCCAGAGTCATTTGACCCCATGGAGGCATTTGTAACAATTGATCTTCATGAGATCGGCTTTCTAAAACCCTTTTAGGCGACGAAAACGTCGGTTAACATTCATTCCAACAAATCGAAATGGTCGCCTAATAAGAAAACTCGAGGGATCTGCACTTGACGGACCACTTTAGAGAACACAGAGACAGATCTCACGTTAACATTATTCTGTGAACTGTCACTGGATTTGTTCATTTGCGTAACGAGCCTAAAAGATAAGTGCGGTGCACACTGTCGCATCACGTGAAACCTGTGGCACACCGCACTGTTTGTTGATGGGTCATGCCGCTGAAAAGCTTCACTTCAACCACCTTTGCCTTCATGTGGTTCTTGACGTCGAAACAACACCTTTTTGGGGGGCCGAGTCAAGCGTTTCCAGGAGGCATTTGTGCTGTCGGATTCAAATGCGAAGTATCATGACCAACCAGATCGAGATCTATTAAATGGCCGAGATCTGTTGTATTTCGATCCAAGGGTCAAAGATTATAACGGCGCGGCGCCTCCTGAGGACCATAGAATCATCCCCTCTTTTTAAAGGCACGACCCTTCTCATACATCGACCTCACAAAGCTAACAGAAAATCCCTAAATTTAATCTAAATCATAAACATGGATGGAGGTAAGGGCATAATACCAAGGGAGGGTCAGCCCTTGATGTGCTCATACAGTAATGTCGGATCTTGAGGATTTGATGCGTTGTATATATCGCTGGTGGTGAGTTGTATGTATCCAGGTTCCCTCATGGACATCCCAATTGAATAATTGAAGCATGTGGGCTTTGGTGTCTGTCCTCAGTACATGTCACGCAACTTGCAAGCAAGCTGGGACTTGCAAGTGGCACGAGATCTGGAATTCCGAAACTCTAGAATTGTCGATTAGATATGTCGCGGAATACGACCGCATCAAAGTGTTCGTTAAGCTAAATCGTTGATTAAATAATCGGCACGTATTTCATGAGTTTGGGGTTTATCTTTACAACAAAAAGTTTGTCGTCACAAGAAATTAAGTCTGAGTTGATGTTAGACTGGGCATTTGGAGCAATTGGTGCTGAAGGAGTTTCTGCTCAAATCTAGGTGGGTTGGGATTCGTTTATTAATGTTTCCATTCATAATCAATAAAATAACTAATTTATTTTCAATTTAGATGTATTTTAAGTAGAAATAGCATTTGAATATGCCAAATAATAAATATTTATTTGACATCACTATCATTTAACAACTCAACTAGTCTAATGCTAGCTCTACTTGTTGACTTTTGTTGCCCCGTGATTTATTATTATCCACTAGTTAGGACTAACAAAGATAGCACAATTTTATTTCTAAGAAAAGTACTTTCTTTCGTAATTTGAACGCGAGCAAATTCTAATTGGTTAAAAACCGAACAAGTATTTCAAAAGTGTTAATATCTCTCATTACTTGATATGAGATGGGTCACTTTTGATAATAATAAGAAGGGAAAATTCCAATTTGGGGTTCAAAATGGGGTCATTTTCTCAAAATAGGGTCCCAAGTGGACTTAGTGCCAAATTGGTACCCAAAGTCCCCAAAAAGTGTCAAATAAAGTGCAGGGTGGCCGAAGCAGCTAAAAATGCACTGCCTTAGCGGACGATCCATGGCTGATTATAAATGACAGAACAAGTGTTTTTATATTTCTTTTTTCCTTTTTTCTGTTTTTTTATTTTCCTTTTCCTCTTTTTTTTTTCTCCTTTCCCTCCGCGCCATTGCCGGCCCGGCGGAGGTCGCCGGGCTCTCGAGTGAGGCGGCCCTGGCGGGAGGGCGACCCAGGGGCGGGCGAGGCCGCCCTCGCGGCTGTCGGGCAAGGGCCGCCTCGGGCCGGGCAGGCGGGAGGGCGACCTCGCTGGGATCCGGTGAGAGGCCTCGCCCGTCCCTCGGGTCGCCCTCGCCAACGTTGGGCGAGGGCGGCCTCGCCCGGGCCGGCGGGCGAGGGCGACCTCGCGAGATCCGGCGAGAGACCCTCGCCCTCGCCTGACGCCGGCGAGGGCGGCCCTTGCCCGGCCCTGGGTCGCCCTCGTCGACCAGGGCCGCCTCCGCCTGAGGCCAGCGACCTCCGCCAGCCCCGGCAATGGCCGGCGGAGTGAAAGGAGAAAAAAAAAAGAGGAAAAGGAAAAGAAAAAAACAGAAAAAAGGAAAAAAAAATATAAAAACACTGTTCCTGTCACGAATACCGCGGATCGCCGGCCGGCGGGTATTTTACGTCATGGCGACCTGCACTTTATTTGATACTTTTGGGGACTTTGGGTACCAATTTGGCACTAAGTCCACTTGGGACCCCATTTTGAGAAAATGGCCCCACTTTGGACCCCAAATTGGAATTTTCCCTAATAAGAACAATTTTGCAGCTACAATTTAATTTTTGCAATTTTTATCCCTCACTACGACAGCTTCTTCTATCTCAAAGTCTCTAAAGACATGGTTAGATGAAGGTTTCATCCTAATGAAGTTGTGGTGAAAAAGAAGAAAAAAAAAATGGGTTTATAAAAGAGATCTATGGTCTTTTGGTGCTACATTTTCCCTCGATTAACACAAATTTGGAGAAATCAATCACCATTTCGACACGAACTCTAGCGTCGTTTTCGACGCTGCCAATAATTTTCTTCTTGGTGTATTTATTAGGACGGGAAACATAACCCAAGAACCAATTGGGAGAAGCTGAAACAAACAAAAGCAAATTCGAACAATTACCTTAAAATTCATTAGTTGGTTCAATGGAGATAAGGCTCTGTTTGTTTTGCGTAAAACAAATGATTTACAAATTTTTCTTTAAAGCGATCGCTTGCATTGCTTAAAATAATTACCTAATGAAAAATGTTTTCACTATCAACAACGATGAAAATATTTTTCGTTCATTCATTTTTGTAAACGATACAAACGATTATTTTTAGGAAAATATCTTATGAATCATTTATATTCGGCGAAATAAACGGAACCTAATTAAGCAATGTCTATTGTCTTGTCAATATTCTGTCACCGTCAATCTCACCTTTCATGATGAACTATCAAAACGAATCGTGCTCTCGCGAAAATGAACAACAAAAATTTGATAAGCAGAAGAAATTGCATCCTCACCATCGTAATCACTTGGGATTACACTCCTTGAGTTTCACCCAATGGCGACGGACACTTCATCGCTAATAATCGATGTGCTGCAACTAACAAGAGCTTTTGGAAGAGGCACATCGACCATTTCCATGGCTAGTTTAATTTCTCCAATTTTTTGTATACGGAGCTTTAACGTATTGAGGGTTTGCCCCATGAGAAGACGGAGGTTCGAGACGACTCGGTGAAAGAAAAAAAAAAGAGGTTAAGAAAGTCCTCTTGCTCTCGAGGAAGGAGCGAATGAAGAATTAAGAGTATCGAAGAACATAAACCGAAAGATGATGAAGGTTATGCCAATGCGGTGGGCAAAAGAATCAAGAAACGCTTCGGTATATTTAGGCTCCGTTCGTTTGGCTGAAAATATTCTCCTTTTGGAAAATATTTTCCCGGAAGTCATTTTCCTGGAAAATGTTTTCCCGGAGCATAATTTTTCAGTGTTCGGCGACCAATATGAAAAAGTTTCGGAAAATATTTTTCACCGGCGATCGGCGGCGGGCGGCGGGCGGCGGCGGCGGCGGCGGAGGGCGGCGGGCGGCAGCCGGCGACCGGCGACCAACGATGGTGACCGGCGATCAACTTCCTCTCCCACGGAAAATATTTTCCCTCCCATGGGCAATTTTGCCTTCAATTTGGGGGAAAATGATTTCTTCTTTGTGAAAAGAGGAAATCATTTTCCTCAAAACAATGAAGGATTTGGGGGTGGGGAAGGAAAATGTTTTCCGTGGGAAAACATTTTCCGCCCCCAAATACCGGAAAACGCGGAAAATATTTTCCGGAAAAATATTTTTCCGCAAATGAACACAGCCTTAAAGGGAAAAAGTCGCACAAAACCCCAAACTATAATTATTCTTACACATTTATTCTAAACTTTTTTTTATGACATCAAAAATTTCAAACTATGCACACTATGACACATTTACCATAAATATTTTCTTGTACTTGTACTTATATTTATGTGACCCATTTACCCTCCTTTAAGACTTTGTTAAATGATTTTTCAGCCAAAACAATGTTGTTTTTATTTCACTTAAACCACGTGAGCATCATGTCAACATTGTTTGCTTTCTAGCGTCCATTAGAGGTGTCAAAATAGGTCTTAAACCCATATATGACCCATTTAAAAATAAATGGGTCATCTATAGGTCACTTAATTTTAAAGAGTCAACCTTAAATGGGTTTTAAATTGTAAAGCTTAAAGATAAATGGGTCTAAATGGGTTGAGTTTGGAACCCATGTCCAACCCACCCACTAGACCCATCCACACACTCTCTTCCTCTTTATAAAGATGTTTAAAAAAAATCGAAATTTAATTATTTTTATTTTTTCTCTTTTTCTTTTATTTTTTATTTTTTCTTTTCTCTTATTCTTTTTTTTTTATTCCAGCCGGTGGTCGGCCACGGCGACCGGCCACCGGGGCGGGACGACCTCGCCGATCTGGCGAGCCTCGAGCTCGCCCGATTCCGGCGACCTCAAGGCTTGCCCGATCCCGGTAAGGCTCCGGCCTCGCCGACTTGTGGCGAGGCTCTAGCCTCGCCGATCTGGCGAGACTCGAGCTCGCCGGCCTCGGGCGAGCTCTA